AATACAGGCTAGATTTTGATCCCTACATTGAAATTGATTGCCAATTAACATAGGTAACTCGTGTGAATAGCGTGTGAATTATCTGATCACTGACCCATTACTGGCTATAAACTTACCTAGTCAATAATACGTGCGAACAACAAAGCAAATGATATTCTCAGTGGGATTTTTAAAAACAAAAACAAAAAACAAAGTTTAATAGAAATAGAAAATTTAAAAAACTTGGTTCGTGAAAGAAAACATATGAGTTGTTAAAATTTAAAAGACTTAATTGGATGTTAATGGTTTGATCTTTTATATATTAAGTGTTTTATTGTTTTCACTGAAAGTTATTTATCTGAAAACTCTGAGATTTATGTTTTATTTCATTTGATGGCGTTCAATGAACTATATATTGATCTTTTTTTGTCAAGCATTGGATTTAACACTTGCATTGATTAAAAAACAAATATGCAATGTTGACTGCAATAATCCTTTGTATAAGATGTTTATTTCTAAGCAACAATGGTACATGTGAGTGATAGATAATCCCTTCATTATCGTATGGTTCTATTTACTGACTATTTATAAGACTTAGAGTTAAAAATTTATTAGTTTTGCATCAGACTTAACTTCTTGGATATTTTGCATCAGCCACATACCTTGGTATGTGAACGGAATTATACTCTAGCAGAATCTTTGAGCATCCTGTCGAAAGTAGGGCGTCCTGTCGAAAGAAAGGCAACCTTTTCTATATTTCATGCTTCATTACCTTTGGTGAAGCTTTCGGTTGGGTTCGCTTATTAGATATAAACAAAACAGCATCTAGAAACACTATTGAAAAGTCATTATCAGATGAAAGTTTACTCTTGAGCTGTCATTCTTATAGGAAGATTGGCAGAGTTTTCACTTGTCTATACAGGGTATCGAGAAATTTTCGAAGGATCTAATCTTATATATTTTCGCGGTAGACACTTAACTTCAAAATTTGTAGTTTGTTTTTCCAGACTTTAAACCTCAAATCTTTAAGAGGTAAAAAATGTTTTGAAAAGGCAAAGGTACACACAAAAAAAAGTACAATTAGGGCATGTTTTTTTACCTCTTCTCTCTCAACAATAGCATACCCTCAACGCCCATCGTATGACGTATACATATCTCAATAAATACGTTACGCTCCGACATGGTAACACTATACTAACTTCATTAACAGGGGTGTGACACAAACACTGATCCGACAGAGGAACGAGGAAAACGACTGAAATCAACACTTCATAAGTTTTACGGTTATCATGACGAATTGTTAACCTATACGATGCATCTGTTCCTAAACTCACTAGCGACATGTTTTCGCAGTCTAAGATCTACAGATAAAAGAATAATCTGTAATCTGTATGATCTGTAAATTTATCGGTTGTATCCTTTTTTCCGAATGTGACATTTTGACAGAGTGTGGATTTGCATGGCGGATGATGCATTCATTGCAAAAGAATTTGACCATGACCGGTCTCGCTACTGTTGTCTCTAATTTCTTTTCATAACTTATTCAAACTGTCACGTTTTCAAATCAAATTTTAAAAATTACACGACGGTTAGACCAAAACAAAATGGCTGAGTTGAAAAAATCTTAAAGTTAAGACTTCGCCTAGTGTCTAAGTTAATATGAATTGAAAAGGTGACAGTTTGAATAGGTTATGAGGAGATTCAAATGTTGTCTCTAATATCTTCCCATAAATAAAGGCAACAGTAGTATACCGGTGATCAAAAGTCATAAATCTATTGAGAAAAAACAAATCCGAGTTACAAACCAAAACCTATTCAAATCAGGGTTACAAACCATAACCTATTCAAACTATCACTTTTTAAATTCAAATTTTAAAAATTACACAACGGTGTTTCCTATGTCATGTAATAATTTTTGAAGTTCTAGTACATTGCATAATTTTTATCTAAAATATTAGAGCCAGTATGTATAATTCAAATCATAGCAATAGTTAATAGGTTTCTAGCACTATTTGGCACTAGTTGTCCACCAATGACCCATTGGTAGAGAGTAACCGCCGTCTAATGGAAATTTGACAGCTGCAAATTTGTTTTGTTGTAGCTGATCAGCTCAGTAAAAAAGCTCATCAAAGAATCAAGGCTTATAAATGTTTACGCGCGTTTCGTCTTCAAATGAAGTTCGAATGAAAAGTTAAAAGGCAAAAAAATACAGAACGAAGTTGAAGAGCATTCAGGACCAAACAATTCCTAAAGGTTTAACCAAATAGAGCTTAGGTAATCTATTCCGAGGGTAGAAAATTAGTATTTCGAACAATGTAACACTGTATTTTAGACCATCAAATCCATATTGATTGTCCCTTGTAATCTTTTACATTTTTTTGTTCATTCTCACATATAAAGTTGACATAAAAAAAATGACTTTTCTGTTTATTAGTTTAAAGATTTATTTCTATTGAAAAACAGAAAAAACACACCAAGGGGGAAGTGATAAAAATCTACAAGTCCAATAATAAGAGAAAACGCCATAGCCAAAAATAAAAACGACGAAAGAGCAAACAACAATAACAAGTATTTCAGAGGTAAAAAGCAGCACAGATAGCTGTTTGCCTCTCATTTCCGAGATTCATTTGCATAGTAACAAAAACATAAGAACGTTATTTAGTAACTCCTATTTTTATTTCAATTGCAAACTGGCAGTTGTTCTTTTGAAACACTTAACAGTATCATACATGTATCGGACACTATCAGCGGTCCCAGAGATTGTACATTTATTATTCAACCTTAAATTAAGGCAACATTAGTTTACCGATGTACAAGTTTTTAAAGTATATCAAGAAGACAAACCAAGGTAACACACAATAATTGAGAAAACATGTCGCTGGTGCGATGAGACGAGGAATATCTTATCAGACAACCAATTTGTGATGTTGACCGTAAAACTTATGTAGTGTCGATTTCAGTCGTGTTTCTCATAACTCTTTTGGAACAGTTTTTGTGTAAGAAGCACACCTCTGCTAATGAAGTTTGTATAATGTGAATATAGACAAGCGTGACGTAACAATTGAGATAGGTAAACACAACACGATGGGGCAGAGGATATTTTACTTCTGAGAAATAGGTTGTTGACAATTGGCCAGTTTAAATTGTCACGTTTGTCATAAATTCTAGTTTGAAGTCGTCCTTCTGTGTTAATATCAAGGTAAAGATCGTGATATGAAGCAGACATTTAGTTTCTGCAGTATCCTTAACATCATGTTCACTGGGATATATGAGTTGCAAGAAATAACTAAAATATGAATAACATGACATCATCAATATATATCTGAAAGTGAAAATTAAAGAACTTTTCGAAAGAGACACACAAACAATAGCAAAGGGACAATCGAAAATCGTAAGTCGAGAAAAATCGTAACACCAAGACGAAGGAAAAACGACGAAAAGACTTTTAATTATTCAGTGAAAGGGTGTAATCTTTACAGCGGAATATGAAGTCTCCCAAAAAAGAAGACAAGAATAGGAGCCTAGTTGGTTTACATAAGAATGCTGATTGTCGTTGAAAAACTCGTCCTCCAAACGTAATAAACATGTTGTCAATAAGATAATCTTAGTGACGCTCGTTTTAGTGATTTTTTTTGTATTAGAGTGTTTTTCTGTGAAGCCTACGCATTTTGTTAGCAGAAGCGAGACATTGTGATCTTATATGCCGTTGTCGGCAGCATCAACATTAAGGTTCAGTCTGTTATTAAAAAACGAAAATTGGACAACAGCTTTTTTTATGATCAAAAGACATGTCTGTTACAAAATTTCAATTTTTTTATTAAATTAAGGAGTACATTTCCTTTTTTTAGTTTTATCAACTCTTTAATTTTTGTATATGTTTTGGAAATTCAAATATTTTGGCCTCGAGCATCACTGAAGAGAAATTAATTGTCGAAATTCGCCTCTGGTGCAGTAGGCACCGTGAATGTTATTATGTCCACAACAAAATTTGGATTTTTTTTCTTCATTTTTCCGTATTTTATTGATAAAAGGACTTAGTTATTTGTCAATCAACATAACCTTTTCATACTGACAGCAGCAATTGCAGGCAAAACACAAAATGGAATCTTACGTTTATATCATACGACATGTCAATTATGCAATTGTACTGCTCTAGATGGCTTTGTTTTTATGTTTCTGGGTCGATATTTGACAGAAATAAACAACCCATAATCTTTTATCCATAGTCATCTAATGAAAAAGGCCATTTTGACGAAACATCCTGTGTTCCTTGATCGTGTACTTTCATTTGAACATTTATAGTTATGATGTAAAACAAGAATCAGTTTTATTCTTTTCTGAATTCTATATAAGCCTTTTTCATCCTAGCAGTTATCCGGTGATATGCACATTAGATAAATCCTTGTATTATAAAAAAAACATAATGAAATACACAAATGAATAAGGATTACATATGATTACCACACTTTCAAAGAAAAGAGGGAAAAAACCGTAAAAACACTATAGTTTATTGTATTAAAATCAAAAGGTCTTTATGAATACAGTTCCGTTTTGTTACTTTAGTATATAATTTGATATTCATTTATTATACTTGTGTCAAAAGAAATCATTCATTTGTTTTTAAAAATCATTCATTTGTTTTTAAAGCACCTATTTCTTAATAATATTCACATTCCAAGAAACTATAATTATTTTTGACAGCACAAATTGAAATGAATGGAAAAGGAATTAAAAATCAATTTCGAACTACAAGTAGACAATTGAAATAAACAAGACTTTAAATAAGCAATTTTGGGCTTTTAAATGAAAAGAAATCATTTAAAATTGATATAAATCAGAAGAAAATATGTAAATACAATATTGGCAACAGGTAGGTAAAATCATTAACTGAGTTTTCACTTTAATCAATTTGTGGGACAGTTAAAGCAATAAACGACAGTCCTCCTAATGCATCTCTTGGGAACTTATTAATTAGGATGAGAATGATCAAAACGGTAGTTACAGAATAACGAGCATACAAGTGGGAGTGTTATTTCATACAAATATGGTTTGTATATGAAGTGATTGACAGATTGCCGATAAATGAATCTTTGCGCGTATTTATAAAAAGAGACAGTTTCCGTAAGTCATTCACTTTTAAACAACTCTTATTTAACGAAACATTGGAACCGGTTAGGAAATAGCATGAAAAGATTGGCAGAATTTTTCACCGTTTATTTAGGCTTGTTGTCTAGTTTAAGGTATGTTATAGTTTAAAGTTGTTTAGAATTTATTTCTAATAATATCTTATTTTGTAGTATAGGATATCAAACACTATGTTTTTTTTTGTTTCTACAAAAGACTTATTGGTTCACATTTCTAATGCTCATCTCATTTTGAAATTTGAACTACTAAGAATTACAAATTAGTGAAGTTGATAATTAATGGTAGGATTCATTTCTGAATAATTCTTATTTGCCTGTATTGAATATGCTATGTTTTATCAATATGGTACAGTCTAATGATAATTGTATTTTGTATATGCATTAGTGGTACACTGTACCAATTTATCATATTTCATTTTTGAGGTATTTTCCATTTGTTTGAAAAAGAAAGATATATATAAATACATTTGTCTTAATTCAATGGTAATATATATGCATCTTTTCAAAACAAATTCAATTTAGCAATGGTATGTTGCCTTGGGATGTCCTTTTCTGGTTCTATTGAGTTTTATGGTTGTCGTTCCATTGAAGATTACCCAATATTTCTTTTTATTCATATTAGAATGGATTTGTTTCAAATATGAAAATACAGTGAAATCGATATTTAAAAAAAATGTTATAATTATAACTAAAACGGATAAAGATCATTTCGGTCTTCAATGTTCTTAGACTTCGTACTTTATTTGGCCTTTTTTACTTTTTATTCGAATGAGGTGGGGTTCGTGTTGCTCAGTCTTTAGTTTTCTATGTTATGTTTTTGTGAAATGTTGTCTCTCTTTTGGTTTTCTTCATTTTTTGCCATGGCGTTGTCAGTTTATTTTCGAATTATGAGTTTGAATGTGCCATTGGTATCTTTCGCCTCTCTTTCAATGATGAGTCTTTTGAAGACGAAATGCGCGTCTGGTATACCAACATTAAATCCTGTTATCTATGTTGAATTTATTCGAAACTACAATAAGTTCAAGAGATATTGAAGTGGATACCATGTTTTAAACTATCAATATACAGCGCTGCTTGTTAATATTTAAACAGAACATCAAACACTGCAGCTGTGGATCTAAATTTTTAATGTTTATTAAGGAAATAAAAACTCATGATCAGAGAATTAATTTGTAATTGTCGATAACTTTGCCCATGAATAGGCGTATGTTAGCGATTTCAGTGCATGTAACGTGATTGTGGAATGACTTTTTTACAAGAAGTACCTAAAACAGCAGCCAGAACCGTGAAACAAAAAAATATCTTAGATTATGTTGGAATTTTAGATGCTTAGATATAAATTTTCAGTTACTGATATGAATTAAGTCAAATTAGACTAAAAGCAATAGGATTCATTAACTGAAAACATACAAAACGTTCTATTGCAAACCTGGGGTGTTTAGAATTATTTCAAAACTATGCGTATCGAAACTTATGACGTTTGGTCTATGTTTCACTAGAATATGCTTCATATTGTCCTCTTGTCCTTATACAATAAGTAAAGCTGTTTTTAATCAAATAAAATATTTAAACCTTTTTCCTTTTTTTATATATTTTTTATTTTAACTGCAATTTTTTTTTATACTATGTTATTAAAAGAAAACCATTCGGTAATAATAGGCAAGTCCTATCCTAAACAAACAAAATGATAGAACGATAGTACATTTCTCATGTTTCCCCCAAAAAATTGTTATGATGTGCTTGAGAAAACCCTTACTGCTTAACTCACATATCAAATTATCTGATGATCTGACTCTTTTATTTTACAAGAAAATATGAAATTTCAAGAAAAAACTTAACGACGTTTAATGAATTTCGGAATATAGATTAATTAGACATTAACCGAACGACAAAACGAACCAAAAGGCGTCTAGAAGGCAAACAGTCTTAAGGAACAAACATGTGTCTGTACAAAATGCAAAACTCTAAAGCGTTCTGGGTCTATTAAAGCTGGGAATAAACTATATCATCAAAGATATGCAAACAAATTTGATAAATAAAATTCTCCAAATAACAAAAACTTTAAAATGTGCCACATGACAACAACTGACGACGTTTCTGGGGCAGGCACATGGCTAGCCATTAAACCAGGTTCAACCCACTATTTTTTCTTAAAATGTCCTGTACCAAGTCATGAATATGGCAGTTGTTATCAAATAGTTCGTTTCTATGTATGTTGTTGTTTGTTTTTGTTGCACTTCAGTGTTCCTGTTGTTCCTTTGTTTTCCTCGTATAGTTGATGTGTTTCCCTCGGTTTTAGTTAGTAACCCGGATTTGTTTCCTCTCAATCGATTTATGACTTTTGAACACCGGTATACTACTGTTGCCTTCACATGCATATGTGGAAGGTTTAGGTAAACTTGTTTTTAAGAAAATAACTCCTCCCTTCTAAATCTCGATGAATGGACTTATATTCATTCAAAGTACGTATATCCTTCTTTAAAATAGAATATAATAATTAACACAATGAATCCCGAATTGTGATATATGAAAAGAACAGAATTGGGGAGGGGGTTAAGATAGTCATCAACAAAATATCATCATCATGATATAAAATGACATCTTCAGGTCACGATTGCAATAAAGCGTGTTATATAAACTTTGCACTTTTTTTCGCGAAAGAAGTATATATTCCATTTCTTTAACACATAGTATTTCAAATATGTCGGTACTATAGAAAAAAAAAACTGTTTGTCCACAAACATTTACTTGTGAACGTTAAACAAACTACAAAACGTCAATTATAAAGATCTACTGATTAGGAAAAAGCAAAAATATATCAGGTGTAATCCAAAGACAAAGTCATGATCATTTAATTGCTAGATGTACACAGTGCAATTGCAAAACTCACATTAAGCCTGTTATATAAGACTCAGTGTGTTTTGTTTACGTTTAAGATCACATTTTCACTAGTTTGGGTAACGAATCACTTCGCCATTTCACGGTGATTGTAAATGACGCTCTGATAGTAAAGCTTTGTCTAAGTCATCAAGTCAGTGTGACTGAGATTTAACAAAATCTTTCGTTTGAATTAAATGTACTTAGATATTGAGATACATTTACTTATTAAGAAGTATACATGGCCATCGTGGTTCTTTTTGCACGAACCAAGTATCTACTATCTAAATTTGTTTAACATATCTAGAAGATGTAAAAGAAATTGCCATTAAACGTATTAATTTATGCAAACAAATTCAACTTCACAGTAAATTCTTCTCTTAAAATATAACCAATGTATCCCATTCCATCATTTTGATATTAGAAAATTTGTTTTTAAACAATATTGTTTTGCTTCGTAACCAAATTGGTGTACCTGGTTCTGTATGCATCAAATCTTAACAAACTTCCGCTATTTGAGTAACCGATGAAGGTTGATTCAGAAAGAAAATACAGAATGATTAACATTTATCTATGGTCCCTGAGGGTATATTTGGCTTCCTATATGTATTGTTTACACACATTTAAAGTTTTTAACTTCGTTTTTTCCCCAAGCAAAAATTACTGAAGACGGTTAAAGATTGTTCGATACATAGCTTTGTAATTCAGTTGCTGTTAGTGTCTTTACGCTTCTACTTTTTAATTATATAATAACTCAAATTTTCAGCTGAATATTGAATATACTGTACTTCTATAACGCGTTTGTTTCTTTTACTATTTTTTACTATTCCGTTTAGTTAAAGAATATATTCAGTAGAACAAATGAATTCGTGTTATACTTTATACACGCAAACCTCAATGATTCGCAACGATATAAAGATGTTTTTAAATGAAGGCGTTTATTAATGATCTAACATGTCCATAAATGAACCAGGACGATATTGGTAGAACACACATTTTATTAATTCATGAAGGAGTGATTTTTCCGGAATGTTTCTTCTCGGTAAATAAATCAAAGCAACAGATAACTTTATTCAAATATAAATAATTTCAGTAAGAAAACACTAATGTGAGCAAACAAACCATGCAATCTGAAATGGTTTTGTACAACACAACGCCTTATGATATTTTTCTAAGTCTATAGCTAACAAAAAAGTAAAGATGAAACTAAAAATCCAAAATTGTAAAAATAAATCTAATATATAATTTCTAATATTCGAAACATTTTTATAGATTAAAATATAACAGGAATGCTCAAAGTCATATTGAAGGCAACTAAGTCATATGGGTGTAAAACGAACAGCATAAAACTCCCTGAGGTTAAAGTTTGAGGAGCGAACTTTAAGAAGAAATGTTATTATTGATGTCAGTGTCGTAGGACTACTGCTATAACAAACTTAGGGTCTGGTGGTCCACCAGCAGTGGTATCCATAGACACGTGTACGTAGAGGTAGCAAACAACAACAAATATCTTTTTGTGGTGTTCGAAACGCTCACGTAAACTTTGAAACCAAAACGTTTGGAAAGCAAAAGAAACATAAAGTATTGAAAGTAATAAAACGAAGGGACAGATAAGGGACAGGCAAAAGCCGTCCAAAGTAAGCTTTTCTCCCTCCCAGAGTTGAATTCTTAATCTTTAGAAGATAAAGGTTAACACTTATATGACTAATCATTTCTTTTAATAAATGCACTAACTCATTTAAGTTCCAAAGCTATGACTACTACATTGATGATATTCTCGGGGAGTCAAAGTTCCAACAAAAAATATTAATTCTTTTTTATCAACATTTGTTTTTGTTATTCCTAGCAGTAACATTTGGAATTATATGTTTCTGTAGAATGGATAGAAGGGATGGATGTTAATTCCAAGTGGCAACATATATAAATGCATATTTAGGACAAAAACTGTTAATGCGATAATAATATGAACCCTGTTGTGTGTAGAATGACACATTGTGCCAGATTTTTAACGTGCTAATTCCTAAGATAACAGTCCGCAGGAAGACATGTCAACATACTGGGACACATTATTCTGACTTCGAGCCCAACAAGTCTTTGATCTTACTCCTTAATTCTGCCTGCTTATAGCAGAGAAGCAGCAAATTACAGTTTTGAAGTATTTGATTTGATCCGGCCGGGGATCGAACCAATGACCTCCCGGACTCAAGGCGAGCACGCTC